CACAGCCCCCCCCCCCACCATTTTGAGCCATGTATTCATCTTTTCTGTACCCTCCCCACCTCCCCTTCCAAGGATATTTTCCACCCCACCACCAGTAGCCACAGCACCCTCCTGGTGAGATTCCAAGCTCTCACTTCTAAGCAGCACACAAAACTCTGAGCATGAGACGATTAGAAGAGAAAGAGGGAAGGGGAAAGTATCGACAGGAGTAAATTGAAAGAAATCATAACTTGAGCATAAAGATAGCAGTTTGAAAGGTAAAGTATTCAGAGAAAGCCCTTTCCTGGATGAATCTAATTGTTTTGTTATCTTTACCCACCAAAGCATTTACTTTGGTTTGTCGCCCGATCCACAAACACTTTCGAGGAGATGACATTACCGAAAGGCAGGAACATCTGCATCAGCTCAGCATCCCCAAACTCCTGGGGCAGATGGTAGATAAACAGGTTACAGCCCTCTGGTCCTATGAAGAGAAAAAGAAGACCCATGAATGGAGAGAAATAGGATCTAAGAAAGCATATAGCAGAGATTTATTTTAGTATCCCCTCTCTGACTAGTGACAGGTCACCTCTAGGAAGCAGTCTGTAGACTCTCAGAGGAATGGACAAAGCAGAAGACCAGGAACTCAGAAAGTCACCTAGAAGCTGTGCTAACTTCTTTAACCTTCCCAGCACAGACACAAAGATAAAATATATAGACAGAGGAATGCAGCAGCACATGTGGCCATGGAAAGACAGAATGGAAGAATGAGAACAAAAAAACCCTGAAAGAATGGAGTTCATAATTTATCTTGACTCCTCATAATGTTGTTGAATGTCTAAAGTTTTCGGTAACCAACACTAACCCTTTCTCAGTGTCTACATGCAGAAGTTTCAGTATCATTTTTGTGCCTGTGAGAGGACTCTGAGAACAAGTAGAAAGATATGCACACACCCACAGGCTGACTTTGTGGAATTTTACATTCATACCCCCAGGTTGGCTCAACCTGAACACTCCCCCAAATTTAGACCATTTGGCATATCCCCCATTCTGGACATTTCTGCAAGAGAGATTAGAGATGGATTTAAATCCAAATTACTAGAGAAGAGGCATTGCTTTTTTTACCTCAGTGCTATAACATATACTCTTACAGACTTCCGATGATCCTTGGAAAAATATCTAGAGAGGAGTCTTTAGTTGGAATGTGTAGTTTAGTTAAAGTAGACACCCTCAGAAAATGTTCTTTTGAAATTGTATTTTAGGGCAGAAGAGGGAGAAGTTGCCTCTGGCCAAATTGCCTGGAATGAAATTTTTCAATGTGACTTTTATTTTTAAGCATGCTGTCCTTGAGCAAAAGTCAAAAGAAAAGATGTGTGTCCAAGTGTTTTTATTGAAAAATAAACATTTAAATCCCTTGCACTATTCAATAGCAGAAAAATATATAGTTTGACGAGGCAGGGATTTTTTTTTATGGTCTTATTTCCAAAGGTACTTCCAGCTACTGCTGACCTTGACAGGTAACTCCACAGTGGTCAAGCTGAAAGGGATACAGTGTGTGATCACTGCTGTGAGGTTAAAAGGACAGAGAAAAGGATGGTTTCCTCCTTCCTGCAGCCCATAGGCCTACAGTCCTGTCACCTGACTCAGCCAAATTTCCGCCATTTACTTCTGGGTAAGGAAAGTTTTTTTTTTTAATTTGTCTTATTTTCTTCATCAGGACATAATTACAGTGTCATAACACAGCAAATTACAGCTTTGTCTTTCCTGTTGGGGAAAGAAGGTTGCCTTAGAGGCTCCCACCTTTTATTAGCCATTCCTCAACCCACCAGCTGGCAGGAAAATTACGGTGAAGGCAGGATTTTGACAGATGCCTGTTTAAGGCTCACTAAAATTCCTGGGTCTCAGCGTGATTGAAGTCACAGGTTCTCCACATTTCCTTTTGGAGTAGTAGAAAAATGAAGCCTTAATGACTAATTGATAAGCACAGTTTTCCCCGCTAATTTGCTAAGAGGACTGTCATGAAGGAACAGCTGATCCTTTGCATTTCCTAGAGGTCATGAGGATGGTTCCACAGTTTCTTCTAAAACAGGGATACTCCTACTGTGGGATAATTAAGCAATTAAGCAGCCAGTCATCTGCTTAGCTAAATTACTTTTGAACCTCAATGGCACACAACTGGACTCCTCTATTTCATGCCAAGCTTTTCCATCTTCCCACAGTTATAGATAGTAATATATGAGAAGCACAGTTAGCCTTGATTCGGACAAAAAGGAAAGAAAAGTTTTAAGGAATGCAAGATTATGAAATGTCTGTAAGTTACAGGCAAACCATACTGGATAATGGAAAAAGCTGTGATTGACAGCACAAAAGCACATGGTAGATAACTCTGTGGTGGGTCCATTTTGATTTGCCTTGCTTGGACCTGAGATGCTAAAGACATTTCTCTGCCCATGCTCCTCACCCTCCAGCTTGTTAGTTATTTAGCATGGGGACAACCGCAAACCCAACCTATCCCTAGCTGTCCCCTATCAAATTTAACTCCATATACATGTCCTAACATCAGCTGACTATTATTGCATCCCCAACACCATGAATCAGTGTCATAAGAAAAGGCTGTGAATAGATTTCTCTCTGAACAATAATTAAAAATGGGCTGTCCCGTGTATGAAGTTAGGCTGCAGCCGTTTGGCCACCTGCACACCTCATCTCTACAGCAAAACATTGAGAGTCTGGAATTTCATTGCCTCTTCTGTATCTGCTTGCTATTCACTTCCCACAATGTTTGAGCACAAGGCAGATGAGAAGCACAAGGCAGATGAGAATCACAAGCCTCCACTACTTTATTTTAATATCTAAGTTTACTTCTGACTTTCTAAAACTACGTCAGGATGAACAATACCATACAAATTTAAAATTACCCCCCAGTTTTGCCTGGTTGCCATGGCCTGAACCAAAATTTCATCTCTACCTTTGATCATTTTGGATTCGTTCCATCCTATGCACCCAGTCATAGCCTGAGTGCTCATGGGGAAATAATGACTAGTCTCTACAGCAAGACTGCAGCTGCCAAGCGGCTCTGGGCTTCTTATCCAACTGGGATCTGGGAGTGGTAACTTAGTATTTTTATTAACAATGTGATCACTGATTTTATTGTTGTGGTCGGCCTGGTTCATTAACAAATCAATATTTGTACACATCCTTGGAAACATAAATTACTCTTCTAAGCAATGACAATTACTAGTATTAGACTTCCCTCATGCTCTGTTTTCTTATTAAACATTAGACATGTTTCAAGGTCTTGACCCTCTGCTAAAAGGGAGTGTCATGCTTTAGAGATTCTCCCTCTAGCAAGGAGGAGAAAAAGCCACAGCATCTATAAACACTGCAGGAAAATGGATGAAACTGGGAATGGCAACTTGCATCACACTAGTTTTTCATGTCATATATCTGGCCCCCAAGCATCCTCAATAACAGCTGCTTACAGGAAAGTAGGAGGAGTTATGAGATAACTTGGACACTGAATGACCCTCACCCTCAACCCACAGAGATACACATGCCTTGTGAACAGAGGAATCTTTGGGCAGTGTGGTTTTCAAACTGTGCACAAAAGCTATCCTTTGCTTCTGATGGTTCCTGGCACAATGCTATGCTGAGCAATGATCATCTCTCCATTTTGTCTTATATTTAATCTAGCCCCACTAAGTAAATAAAAAACCAAACTCCTTCAGTGGCAAGGGGGGGAGGCAATCTCTGTAATGATAAGTTAGGTAGGCGCATCTGTTCTCACAGCAGGTACATGTACTACAGCTAATCAGGAGCTGGAAGTTCTGTTCCACAGGAAAATCTGACATTGGAAAAAAATTGATTCCAAAGTGGATTGAAATGCAGAAATTTCTAATTTTCGTACAAAAATTAGAGTTTTGTCTCCCAAAGCAGTTCTAGGCTGTCAGACTGTTTGAGTTTGATAGTGTAATCTTAATTAATTTCATTCTGTCACACTATATTAAATATAATTTTATATTTAATAACACATATAAAATACATGTGAATGATCTAATAGAGGATAAGAGTTGAGATGTAATTATTTATGAGGGTCTCTTACACTAAGCTGGAGCACCTGAATTAAATGCCTCTCTCAGGCAAGCAGTCTTCTCTTCTAGTCAAAAGAGAACAGCGGACTCCCTGGAGGACGGTTGCGACTATCTCAGTGGGTTGCTTTTGATTATCACACTGGTCCCCACTGAGGATAAAGGGAACATAAGGGACTCCTTACTCAGACAAGTCTTTGGGTCCAAAACATTACAGGCCATGCATACCTCCCAGAATGTGGGACATTCACCTCTTCATTTTTCATGTCTCCAGTGCAGCCATACGGTCCTGCGGAATAGCTAACCCAGACTCATCTCATAGTCAATGTCTAGAAATAGGTAGTTTTACTACATGATTCTTATCATACTGATATAAAGATTGGGCTGTAAAAGGGATGATTTCTTTTTCAAGATTATCAAATGAGACTGAAAGGACTAGATCAGCTCCTCTAAATAGAAGGTCCTCATTCTCTAAATAGCAGCTGTCTGAAATCACGTTACTGGCTTCTAATGAAAGGCCACCAGCGCTTTGTTTCCTACTAAATTCTTTATTCCAATGCAATTGCTTTTTTTAAATCTGTGTCCCTAACACACACACACACACACAGAGACACCCCCCCCAACATTAGTGCCTATGTTGCTGTGAACTTCAACATGCTCTCTTCCCTGGGGACTGAGGAGATCTCAGCATTGATTTCCTGTGAGGACATTCCTGCATATTACTCTTAGTGCCAATGATGCCAAACACAAAAAATTGAGAAAAAAGTCAGTGGACCAGGGATTCAAAGTAATCAGATTTTTAATGTTTTCTCTTTACATGTATGAGGAGGGGAACAAATGTGGTGAGGATGGCATGCTGAGGCCAGAAAGAAGGACTGCCCATTTACTCACCTTCTCTCTGTTGCTGTGGGATCATGGGAGGTGGCTGTGGGAAAGCTTGGCTAATCTGGCCATAAGCAGCAGGATAAGCAGCTATTAAGGGAGAGAAAAGGAGAGAAGAAAGAGGGACAAAATTCAATGCTGGAAAGCAGTATCTTTCATTCCAAACCACCATACTAAGCTAGAGCTGGGCTTTCCTCCTGCATTTTCGCTCTGGGGATGGCAATCTCACACAGCCTGAGATGTGGCAGAAGTACTATGGTTGCTCTCCAGGCAGTGCCACATGGCCCTGAGCATCTGCCCTGTGTTCAGTGTAAATGGGGTGTCTGCTGAGATCTCTGCCAGTGGAGAAAGGTAATCATTCCAGATGGTTTCAAAAACACATTCATTCACGAGATCAGCACGTAGATACTCATGCTGACAGCCATGAACAGAGACAATGCACAGCTTTCCCTGTGTAATTTCTCTTACACCCTAACTCACATGCTTACAAAAAAAGTTCACACGTGTCCTCCCTTACTCTAACCTTTGTCTTATGACACATTGTATAGGCACAGTTGCACATAAACAGTTGCATATGCAATTTCTTTCATGTCTGTAGAGACTTCCCCACTCTCTCACAAAAAACACAGTGTAAACAGCGTGCAGCAATTAAAAAATTCCCCCCCCGTCAGCTCCCCCTCCAAGCAGAAAAGGGGAGCCATTCAGTACCAGAGATGGTAGATGATGTGCCTTGCTGCTAAGAATACGCTTGTGAGGCCAGAGAGTCATGGCTAGGAGCCATGTGTGTGCAGAGGGCTTAATTAACAGCTCAACAGGTTGAGCTTCCCATCTATCAAACCTCACAAGCAACAAATGACAATAACTAAAACACTGGCAAATTAAGCCCTACATAGACAATTAAGTTTCCAGATAGAGCACTGACATGAGATAATAGCCATTCCTCAGCAGGAGCTCACGATTGCTTCATTTACCACAGGAAGTAATGACTTTGGGGTTGCAGCTTCCTCGCAACATTGACTATGGACACATTCCAAGGGAAGGCTGAACACGGCTGGGTCATGGTCTGCACCAGGTCAATTTGGCTGGTGTCAGTCCATCAACTGCAAAGGAGCTGCTCAGCATACAGGGCGATGTGAGTAAAGGCTCACCTATTGAGAGCCATGGACAAAGCTGCTGGGAAACGAGGCATAACTTGAGGCAAGCCTCAAAGTAAATAGCTAGGGTATGGCGAGCGTAGCCATAGTCTAAAATATGGATACGTGCAGATATACCATACCCTGCCAGGCTCTGCAAGGTGAGGTTGCCCATCTCCCCTCCTTGCTGCAGCACTCAGGAGACCTGTTATAGAAAGTGGCCCCCAAATCAGTGTTCTGAATTTGCACTTGTGTTCTGTGCTAAGCAGACCAGACCTGGTCATGGCAAAGAAACTGCACCCAGGTATGGGTCAGTAGGAGCCTTTTCCTACAGAAAGGAAAGA